AGTCAAAATTACTTTTTTTAGCAATCTAGTGTTAAATTCGGTTGATGATCAGCGCGTCAGAGATCGACTATAGATGCTCGATGAGGTGGCCGTGAAACGATAACGTGAATGTTCGCAAGGGGCGATACGCGGTACACTCGGAGTCGCGCGTGCACGGCGGGTAGCGTGCGAACGTTCTCACGCGGGCGTTGCCTAACGCAAATACGAAACAATTCTTATTACTGCGAGTACTCAAGTGGCATCCTACTACGCAGCAACGGTGCTCGAAAACGGCAGGACTCGTATAACTGACGGGATCCAGTTAGCTTCAATTACCTCTGACGATTTTTACGTCTCGTGTCCTGGCGACGAGCTGTTCACGAGTCGTCGTCGTCGTCGTCGTCGCGTTTCATGGAAACTGGGAACTCAAGAGGTCGCACAGGGTCGAACGTCTCCCTTAACAGCCCTCAAACCTTTTCGCAGTCCTCCGACGATGACGCGTCGCGATCGATGTTTCAAATCCTGTCCACTTCCGGTTGCTCGTTGTAATCGCTTAGTTTTATGCGATCTTCCTGTTGTACGGTGTTCCTGAGGACGAGGTAATAGTCCGACGGAATCACAGAGGTTATGGCCGACGGTGAACGATCGATGGTGCTCGCCAACGAAAACGGCGTTTTCAGCAGCTGCGCCGAGACTGACTCCGACGCTCGTGTCGCGTCGTCACTGACGGACTCCCTCGAAAGTTATACTGACGCGATATACATACAAGCGCAATACTCATCGACACCTGGTTGAATAATTCTTGTTTCGTATTACTTAAACGAATTCCTTTGGTTGGTTTTAACGTTTTTCGCGTTATTAACGAACTCGCGTTATTAGGCTTCTTCTTAACTTCTTATTAGGCTCGCGTGGTAATTGATAGTATTCTTAAACACGTTTCTGCTGTAGCGTGACTCGAACAATAGACTTGGTCCGAGGAAACTACTTGATATTTATTAGGAAACGACCGAGAGTCGTTAAGAATTCTAAAGAATTCTCTTTATTTGTGATATTATAGGCATGTTTAAAATTTAGGTTGATTAGGTTTATTGGCAGGAGAATTGATGATATTAAGATTGATTGTTTCATTGTTTTGAATTTTATCAAAGTTCAATTGATTGGTCCACGCT